AGCATTGAGCGCGCCGACGACCGAGGCCCTCCACAAGCGCGACTTTCAGTCGCCAGCGTTCTCTGGACAGCCTGCGGCCTGTGCTGGGCTCCGCGCGGGTGCCCCTGGATCACGATGGCGTACTTTTTGGCAAGGCCGTTCAGGATCACCTCCGCAAGTTCCGAACATTCGACGTCGAGAGCGGACTGGGCCTTTTTCGGCGGCCATGCCACTGCCGAGCAACGAGTCAGACTCCGAGATGTTCATCGGCTGCCGCAAGTCCTGCAGCACCCCTCCGACCGACCAGCTCGAGTGCATCGGCGAGGGCATGGCCCTCTACTTCGAGATGCTGAAGGAGGAGCTCAGGGCCAGTCGTGGAGGTTATCGGCTTCGAGTTCAGATGGTGGACTGCCTCGCGGCGAACCAGAAGCGCAAGGGCAATATCGAGTTCCATCGAGGCGAGTCGGGCGCTGGCCGAGTTCCGCGGGCCCGCGGACAAGGAGGTGTGCAACTGGAAGCAGTGCAGGGGCCTCAAGCCGGTCTCCGCCAGCGAGGTCCTGGACCCCGCCGACGTTATGCGATGCCGTTGGGTGCTTGCGCGGAAGGCCGACGGCGCCGCCGAGGCCCGCCTCGTCTTCCTGCGCCACCAGACGAAGGACATCGGAAAGGAGCCTACGGCATCGCTGACGGCTTCACGAGGGGCACGTAACATCCTCCTCACCGTTGCGGCCGCCAACGACTTTGTGCCTGGTCAAGGTCGACGTTGCGAGCGCTTTTCAGCTGGTGGACGACCTGAAGAAGGACTTTTTGTCGAGGCGGATGAGGCCCCCTCCCCTGCCTTCGGGCTCGAGGCTGGCGAGGTCTTACGAGTGGTGAAGCTGGGCTGCGGCGTCGGAGAAACCCTTGGGACATGGTGGCAGACGGTGAACCAGGATTTCGCATGGGTGGGACTGTCCGCATGTTTTCCGGGGCCCTGCCTCTGGAGCCCAAGATGCCCCTCTTTCAGGGCGGCTGATTGGGCTCGTCATGTGCCGCGTGGGCGGCTTTTATTTAGTTCGGCGACTGTGGCCGTCCTGCATGGGCCGAGGCCCTCAAGGGCATCGAGGAGCTGTGCGTCCTGGACGCCTGGGGGTATGTGGAGACGATCGCCGTCGAGCAGCGCGGCGTCGCGGTCGAGCGGAACGAGAACGGGTTCCTCCAGCCCCAGCGGGCGTGCATGGGCAAGCTGAAGGATATCCGCCCCAGCGACCCTCGAGCTCCATCGAACGCCGAGCTGACCGAGCAGGACCAGAGCAGTTTAAGGACTGGGTGTGGTGAGCTGTCGCGGTCGGGACCTAGTGTGGGGTGAGTGCCTTGCCGTGGGTTGCAGCGTGGGTGGCCGACGTTCAGAGCAAGACTCCCGAGGGCGACTGACGTCTCTTTCCCATCGCGAATGGCTCGCGAGGATGGTGGTGTTCACAGGGCCGACGGCAAAAAGACCTTCGGGCGTGCTCTCCCAGGATTCCTCCAGTATCTGGAGCTGGAGTGGCCGATTTCCGAGTCGTCACTTGGCGCGACGCGGCTTGGGCCAGCCGCCCCGACGGGCGCTCCCGGGTGGGCCGCGTGATTACCGTGAGCAACGCGGAGAAGCCCGTCTTCGAGGTGTCCTACTTCACGGCGTTGGGCTGGGCGTCTCCCATGCTGAAGCGGCTTGCCCAGTCGAGCGTCTCGACCACGGCCCGGTGGGCCAGCGACGCAGAGGGAAAGCAGATGATGGCCCGGCTCGCGTTGTTCGAGGTGCTCTTCGAGTGGCTCGATCTGTGGCGCCAGTCGAAGGCCCTGCGCCAGATGCTGGCTGCCGTGATCGCGGACTGCAAGGCGCCCTACGACGGCGCGGTCAAGTCCGAGTCCGCGGGGCTCGGCCTCGATGAGGGGCGAATTGCCGTCGAGACCCTCGCCTTGAGGCGTCCGCTCCAGGAAGGCGGCGCTGCAGTCTGGCGGGTGCACGGCCGCGCCCAGCTGGCCGACGGCGTGGCGAAGGCGAGCCAGCAGGCCTCCAACGTGCTCCACACCTTCGCGCGCTAGCGGCGAGGGGAGATCGTGCATCGTGAGAGGCTCCGTTCGGCTCGAAAGAGGTCAGCGCTCAACGAAAGAGGCTTCGACGAGACCATCGAGGGCGTTCGTGAGAGGGCCGACAATGCTATGGACGGCCGACGCCGAGTACAACCAGGGTCTGGCCAGGAGTTGACCATTGAGTTCGTGCAGTGGCTCTGGGAGAGGCCCCGCGAGAGTGCCAAGCCGACTTTTTCTCTTCTTGTTTGATTGTGACTTTCGAGAGCAGGCGAGATCGGCTTGTGCAGTCACCCGCCGTCCCTAGCCCTAGCCGTTTTGGGCTCGGCAGGACGGGTGGGTGGTTTGCAGAGATAAGCTTGCAGCCGCAGGCCCGACGCAGCTGATCTGGGCAGCGGCGCGATCGTGGAGAAAAACATTTAGTGTCTTGTGGTTTCTTCTGTTGCTGGCGCCGCCCCTGATTTCCCACGAGTAGGCATCTTTCTTCGAGAAAGGGCCTCAGCAGGCCTAGTGGATGTCAAAAAGATGGTCCCACAACGGCCCCATACTTAGGGGGCTACATGCGAACCCTACCCCTACCCCCCACGATTTCTGATGGGGAGGGTGGGGTTCACTTCGCTCGGGAGCTCCCGCACGAAGTGAACCCCGCCTTCCCCCTCAGAAATCGTGGGGGGTAGGGGTAGGGTTCGCATGTGGCACCCTATTAGTGCCCAATGTAACGCAATGCGCCCCCCAAGTTGCCCCACTACGGACCCAGGTGGCCTTATAGTGGCGCCGTGCGGGTTCAAGACGGCCCCATATGGTTTCAGGATGCCACAGCGCGGCCCGAGATGGCACCCAAACGGCGCTGGTTTCAAAACGGCCCCAGAAATACCAAATGGGGACCCAGAGGGTTCCAAGAGCTTGAACTGGAGAGTCCCAACATGCAACCACCATTTTTTTGTGTACAGGAGAAGCAACGTATTTGGGCGTTCTGGCCTTTTGGGGCTCCTCGCAGTCCTGGGCGGCCCATGAGGCCTCCTCGCAGCCCAGAGAGCCAAACACGGGCCAACGGGCTTTGAGAGGCCCTCCAGGACAGCCCCAATACATATTAATCACCACTTCCACATACGTTCTGGCAGCGATTTCGGCGTCCTCGTATTCTCGGGCTTGTGGCAGCTCGCGACGGCTTACGAGGCCTCCAAAATGACCCCAAGACGGCTCAAGAGGCCCCAATGGCGGTTCCGGAGGCCCACCAGCAAGGTTTCCGGGTCCGCCAACCAGCCCAGGAGCGTTCCAAGATTGCCCATATGAGCCCCAAGTAGTCCGTGAATAAAAGGCACAGGTGGCCCACCAAACGGTTCCAGACGGTTCCAGCGTATGTCCAAAGCAGCCTCAAAACGGCCCCTCCGAGGCCCCCTTTCCAGGAGTTGTCTCGCGGCACGTCTCATGATGTCCGTGGATCGATTTTCTTGCACATGCGCCATGTGTTTTCATGCAGGCACGAGGCGGCGGTGAGTTGCCCGTGGCGTCTTTTATCTTTTCCTTCCGTCTCCTTGCCCTGCAGCCGAAGGAGGAGCTTCAGGCTGAAATGATACCCGAAGCCATAGCCCAACCATCGACATTTCACCAGGTGTCAGATTTCCGGAAAACCTGAGCGCGCGCGAAGCGCGCGAATGTTCTAGTTCATATATTTTGGAGCTCCTGGCGTCGGTATGGCTTCTTTCCTAGCAGCGTCTAGAGGGCCAGACACCACCCGAGAGCAGAAAGTCGTCATCAATTTAGGGCTACGTTGGGGGAGGTGTTGCTGTCACGACACGATCCACATGACGTTGAATGGGATGGCTTAGTTCGTTTTCTGCGACCGATAATTTGGAGAGATAAGTTGGAAACAAGACACGACAGTACACGGCAATACAGCGTCCAGGTCGGTCCAAGATGGCCCCTAGAGGATCCAGACCAGCCCCAAGACGGCCTCAGTGATCCCCAAGATGCCCCAAGACGGCCCCAGGAGCGCACCCAGGAGGTCCCGAGGAGGCACACATCGGTGATTTTCCCGAAGCTGTTGTTTGCTTTTTCAGTATTCGCCCTTTCGGCCTTCGGGCGTCCCAGAAGGCCCACGAGGCCCGCAAGTTTTCACCTAGATGGCCCGGGAAAGCCCGAGAGGGGCCTACGACGGCCTAGGAGAATCCCACAACGGCCCCAGAATGTTCCACGCCGTCCCCAAAAGCCTCGATGGGGGCCCCAAGAGGGCCCCAAGCCCGTCCAAATCTCGAAGAGCCCAACAAGCCCACCCGCATTTCATGCCAAGATGCCCTTCAGAGGCCGCCAGAGGCCCCCAAGACGCCGCCAGAGGCCCCCCGAGAGGCCCCCCCAGAGGCCCCCGAGACGCACCCGAGAGGCTCCGAAGAGGCCACCGAGCGGCCCCTCGAGCGGCTCTTCCCGTCCTTTTCCGTGTTGTCCTCCATGACAGTCTGGACCGCGACGACGTGCTGTTGGGTCGCCAAGAGACCCCCCCAGGAGACCATAAGATGCGCTCCCATGGCTTCACATACGATCCGTAATCATTGCGGTAGGTATCCACGCAGGCCCAAAAGAGCCCGAATCGAAACAATTTAGGGCCCAAAGAACGCTCCCAACGAGCTTCAAAGGAGACCTGCGATGTCTCCCGAGCATCACAACCGAGGCCCCCAACGGGTAAACCTTCCCGAAGAGGAAGAAGGGGGGCCTGGAAGAGCCAGAAAGTCAAACCATTTCCTTAAATCTTCGTTCGGGGGCCGTCCTGGAGCCCACCTAACGGGTCTGTTCGACTCTAGTTCGACTCTGGTTCGATTTCAGCTCGACTCAAATTCGACTCAAGGTCGACTCAAGTTCGTTTCAAGTTGATGGACTCTCGAAGCAGTGTCGACGCATGAGTGGAGCGAGTGGCTCTTGGAAGGCGCCCATAACGAGCATCTAAATCTCCGCCCAGAGGGCTGCTGGGATTCACCGAGGTGCCGCGGCGTGGAGTACAACGAGGCCCCGTGTCGGCATCGAGAGAAGCTGCAGACGGCAGATTGTCTGACCGGCCTCGCATCGAGAGAAGCTGCAGACGGCAGATCGCCCGACCGGCCTCGCATCGTCGCGGGAACGGCCCAGCCCGGCGTCGTTGTCAGCTGGCTCGTCGGCCGGCGTTACGGGTCGTTCGGCTGGCCTTGTTGGTCAGCCTTGAGGTCGGCCAAACGCTTACGAGCGGGCATAATGTAGGAACCAAGGAGGCAAGAGGAGGAGAAGCATGACGAGCAAGTGATGGAATGATATGAGTAGCGGGAAGTGTTGGAGGACGAGGAGGACGACGACGATGTTTAGGACCACGGGGAGGATGAGAGGGAGGACGAGGAGGAGAAGCATGAAGGAGGAGTAGGAAGAGGAGGAGTAGGAGGAGGAGGAGGAGGAGGAGGAGGAGGAGGAGGAGGAGAAGGAGGATAAGTTGGCGGATGGGAAGCAGGGACCACCACGCAGTTGAAGAAAGGTGATCTGACTGACTAGCATCAGTACAAGCAGCGCAGCTCTCCGTCCTCCCCAGCCCCCTTGGCCTGGGGTGGGGGGCGCGGCCTGATCCTCCTCCAGCTTGGAGCCGAAACGAGGTCCCGCCAGCAGATAGGATGGAGTCCGTGGTCCCGAGTGCTTTCGCACCGTCGGCCATGTGCTACGAGCACTGCCTGGTGGCACTCTGTGCGTGGAGCAGAGTCCGCGCCGCCCAGGCCGACGATATGTGATTTGGGGGGAGGCGCCCTGCTGGGAGCTGGCAATTCCAAGCCTGCGCGCAAAAAGGCCCCCTCTGATCTCCTCCAGTGTCAGTTTTGCGACCTGCTGGTCTTTGCCAGCGGGGATCTCATAAGCTTTCCTGCTCGTCCTCCTTCTCCTCTTCTTCCTCCTCCTCCTCCTCCTCCTCCTCCTATTTACCGATTTACCGCATGGGCGGCCGCCTGTCAGACAGGCGGACGCCGCTAGTGCAATACCGCGCCGCCGATCGCCCGCGGCCGCGGGCGAGCCGGCCGCGGCCCGTCGCGGACGCGCGAACGGGCCGCCCTCAGTGGGGCGACGACGCACCCCAGCACGAGGAAAATCCGCCGCAGCGGTTGGGGCGCCGAGGATCACCCGCCCTCAGCGACTCCAACCTCCGCGGCGGACGACGACACGACCGACAGGGGAAGAAGGACCGCCGGTCCCGCGTCGAGGCGGCGAACGCGGGGGGGAACCCGCACCGCCCCGACGGAGCGGAGGGACCTGGCAGCCCCCCCGGGGAAGGATGCCCCGCTTTGGGGGCCGTCCCCGGGGTGCAGGGGTTTGGACCCCGAAGGCCCGATGCTCCCCGCCTGCATCAGGGGGCGCTTTGGCCCGACACCCCGCTTGTGGGGGTGCCCCTCCGGGGCTCCTCCTCCGCCTCCTCCGCCTCCTCCTCCTCCTCCTCCTCCTCCTCCTCCTCCTCCTCTATCACAACCTGGAGGTGAGAGGGGCTCTACACAGAAGCTGGACGGGTGCCTGTGACGTGGCTGGCCCGGGCGAGACCTGGATACGCGCGTGGCCGCATGTCTCTCCCGCGATCGGCCCGCGCGCGGCTGGGTCCAACAAGTGGCTTCCGCGTTCTCCTCGAGCGCCTCCTCCTCCTCCTCCTCCTCCTCCTCCTCCTCCTCCTCCTCCTCCTCCTCCCTCCTCCTCCCCCTCCCCCTCCTCCTCCTCCTCCTCCTCCTCCCCCTCCTCCTCCTCCTCCTCCTCCTCCTTCTCCTTCTCCCCCTCCTCCTCCTCCTCCTCCACCCCCTGGGCGGCCCGGGCGCCCCGTGAGGGGCCCGGGAGGCCGAGGACGGCAATCGCGAAACGCCCGCGCGCTGCGCGTGCCCCGGCGCTCGGGACACCTTTCCAGGGACGGATTTATGGTCGGAGATCGTTGCTTGACGGCTCCGAGGCCGAAAAGTACCTTCTGGACGCCGGAAGCTGGTGGCAGTGCCCATAAGGGGACGGCGCGATGCGGGCAGCTTGCTACGAGGGCGGAGAGGATTCTCAGAAGTCCCCGAGGCTTCCAAGAAGGCTTCTTAGAAGCTGGGCGGACTTCTAAGAAGCCCTCCTGCCTTCTCAGAAGCCCCACCGCCTTAGAAGGCCGCCCCCCTCGCGAAGCCCCATTGTGTGCGCTGCCAAAGGTGTAGAGCACCTCCGCCTTGATTTAATCAATATGTCGGGAAGGTCTGGGTTGCCAGCCTCCTCAGGTGTTCGACCATGGGTTCCTTGTGGAACGCAGCCGTGCAGCTTTCGCGCCGAAGGCCGCCGAAGAAACGCCGAAGACCGCCAGAGACCGCGGAGGACCGCCAGAAAACCGCAGAAGACTGCCAGAAGACCGCCGAAGACCGCCGAAGACCGCTCAGGGCCGATGAGTAACACATGGGTCCATGGTCGAATTCCCAGTGCGCAGTGCCTCCCTCGCCCCTGCCCGGAGGTCACGGGCTGCCTGGGCGGCCTGTTCATCAGCCTGGACCAGATCAGGCCAGCGCCGTGCGCTGCTGGCTTCCGGCCATACTTGCTGCGGCCGGTCGATCCCGGTCACCCCCCTGTCCTCTCAGAGATGCGAGTTTTTGTTGAACATTATTAATTCTAAAGAATAATTATTGTTGGGCCCCCTGGTGCGCGCCCCCCCCGCCGCGCCTAGGCCGCAGCCACGTTTTCATCATTTTCGTGAGGAAGCCTCAGGTAAAACGATGTCATCCAGATCCGGTTGTTTTGTTGTAATCCGCTTTCCCTTGCAAAAAACACTATAAAATGACATTTCTTGTTCTAATATAATCAAATTTCAAGAATCCCTTGCAAAAAATAAGGTAAAGTGGACATTCGCGCGCGCAAGACGAAATCCTTCCAAAAGCTTAGTGTTCGGAGCGATTTTAACATAAAAACATCAAAAAACCAATGGTTTTTCAACAAAAAAATGTCAAAATCTCATCCCGCGCGCTCTTGCGGATTCGTAGGAAACCCAACACTTTTTAAACATTTCTGTCAAACGGGCTTTTGCGAGCAACTTTTTCGAACTTCTGCGACAACGGTTGCGCACCTGCCAGGGCCATCATCCCTGTCAAATAATACCATGCGGGACAGATTCGTTTTTTTGCGGGACATACACCGCCCCGAATAAGTGACCAAGTTCTGTGGGTGTGTACCCCACGCCAGTGTAGTAGCCACGGTCGTCCGCACGCCACGAAGTGAAGTGTCCCAACGTCATAGGGCGGGAAGCTGGGTTTGGGTGGTCGCGAAGAGTCGTTTGGATATTTGGTAGAGCTTGAATGCCCCCCCACGAAGTGGGGGTATTGCCTGGTGTCGTATGAAAACCCTGGCACTGGGGAGAACACCACGCGTTCGGGTAAAATGATTGTTTGTTGTTGTTGTTGTTGTTGTTGTTGTGGTTGTGGTTGTGGTTGTGGTTGTGGTTGTGGTTGTGGTTGTGGTTGTGGTTGTGGTTGTTGTTGTTGTTGTTGTTGTTGTTGTTGTTGTTGTTGTGGTGGTTGTTGTTGTTATGGTTGTTGTTGTTGTTGTTGTTGTTGTGGTTGTTGTTTTTTTTTTTTTGTTTTTTTTTTTTTTTTGTCGTTTGTGTGTTGCTTGTGTGTTGATTGCGATTGTTGTGGTTATTTGTTTGTTTGCTGTTTGTGTCCCCCGAAACTTTTCATGCGTGCTGCATGCCATTATGTGTATATATATGAATATATATATATATATATATATATATATATACTTGTGTATGAACGAATGCGTAGCTTTAGTTTTGGCTTCGACCTTCTGAGGGTCTCTGCGGCGGTCGCCTGCCCTGCTTTTCCGCCTCCGCCTCTGCCCAAGTCCTGAGGAGCGGGCGACCGCACGCACGCGCAGGGGCTGCTTTGCTCTCGTCTGGCCGACGCACGTCAGGATCGACGCAGGAAACGTCCGCGCACACGATTTTTTCGCGGGCGAGGAGGGGGAGGAGGAGGAGGAGGAGGAGGAGGAGGAGGAGGAGGAGGAGGAGGAGGAGGAGGAGGAGGAGGAGGACGAGGAGGAGGAGGAGGAGGAGGAGGAGGAGGAGGAGGAGGAGGAGGAGAGGAGAGAGGCGACTGAGCTCACCCCCAGGGGCGCGAACATACAGTCGACCCGCATGGCAAGGATGGGCAACCTTCCCAATGGTACCCTTGCATCCTTGCCTCCTCGGCCCATCCTCGGCCACTCTCGTTGGCCGCGCTCCGCTCGAGAAGGCTTCGACATGGGCGTCCAGGGCCCCTGCATCCCTATCGCGCATCCTTCTGCTGCGGGCAGGGTGTGCGCGTCGCACGAGCGCTCGTGACGCAAGGCTGGCCTCGCGGACCAGGGGGGCCGTACACGCCGGTCCTTGAAAGTAGGTATTTTTGGATTCCCAGATCTCAGTGGGCCCTGGAAACGACAGGGCCGTTTTTTTACCGGTTCCGTTTTGCCGTTTTTTTGCCAGTTCCGACGCCGTTTTTTTACCGGTTCCGTCGCCGTGTTTTGACCGGTTCCGGCCCCGGTTCCACTCCTGGAGCCTTTTTTTTGCCGTTTCCGGTCGCCGTTTTTTTTACCGTTTCCATTTTCAAGGAACACTTTTTCGAAAACGGTGAAAAAACGGCCCTGCCGTTTCCGGGGCCCACTAAGTCCCAGATCCCAATCTGCTGCAAGCGCCTTCCCCTCTCAAGAATCGGCTTGCCGCTGCTGCGTTCTGTTATTCTCTGGGAGGGCCTGGACCCAATCTACCATATCCGCCTGCATGCTTCATGCTTCTGCCTATGTCTTCCGACCGACGTGTGCTCGTGCACGCGGCTGGGCGCGTGCGTCGCTTTTTGCCTGGGCCTCCGAGCAGCGGCGCTCTCTCGGCCAAGGGGGGGGGCGACGAGGGGGGGGGCACGCAGAGGCGCACGGTCTGCAGCGGAGGTGGCGCGCGCCCATGGCTTCTGGCGATCGCAGACATGGATCAAGGGTAAGTCGGGCGTGTCCCTCTACAGGGGGAAGATTCAAAAATAGTCAAACAAATAGTCTGGGGACTATTTTTTGACTATTTTTGGGCATTTTGGAGGTATTTTTTAAGCATTTGTGATTTTTCGCCCCAAATCCCCCTGTAGGGGGACCGGCCCGACTTAAATCAAGGGGGGACTTGATCCTTCGCCCTCCATGGGATCAGGGGATCTCGAGGATGGCGCGTGGCGCATGGGTTTGCGACGGGTCCCGTTTCCAAGGGAAGTCGTGGATTTTCGTCGCCGAGCGAGGCGGCACGGGCCGCATTTTGGGGAGGGCACCTCCCCCAATCCGTGGATTTGGCGACCGCGCGCCGAATCCATGAACCGCTAATCCATGTTTGCGCGCCCCCGATTCATGATTGCCCTCCCAGACTCCCTCAGCGCTTTGGATGCACCGCTTTTATTGTCCTACAGCGCTATGAGTGCGCAGCCATGTATGCAGAATCGGAGAGCAGTCTTACCCGTGAGCCTCTCCGCGCTTTGCCAGTGACGCCAGCCTTGTGCTCTCGGATGACGCTGGGCTGAGCCGTTCGTTGGTTGCCGACCAGCAGCGAGGAGATGGGGGAGGTCGGGGATGGTCGGTCGGACTCAGGATTTCGGAGGAGGTCAAGGTGCCCATGCCGCTACCCTCCCCTCTTTTTGCCCTCTTGGGGCCTCCCGAGAGGCCCTCGCCGCCACTGCGGAATCTCGGCCTCGAGGTGCCTGTCAGAACGCACCCCGGGAGAGCGCCGGGGAGTGGCGGTAAAACAGGGCTAGGATCGGGATAAATCGCTCCAGAGCGTTTTGGAGCGCTCTCAGAGCGTTCCGGAACGCTCTGGAGCGGCCGCGGCGCCCAATACATCCTCCAAACCCGCCGATTCTCAGAGATTTCGAGTTATCCCGATCCGATTTTGTCCCGATCTTCGTGTCGTTTTAGGCGGTACTGGTACGTTTTGGTCTCCCCAGAAGTGCTTTTGTGCCGTGTGCACGTCGCGTCAGCAAGGGCCACGCGGCGCAGGGAGGCCCACGCGCCTCGGCGGGCGCTCCCTGTCCGTAACCGCCCTCGGGGAGCGGAGTGTTGTGATTGAGTCGGGCCTGTCCCCCTGCTTTCGGGGCGTTGAAGAAGGAACCTTTTGCGTTGGGGAGGGGCTCGGTGTTCCTTAATTGTTCCACACCTTGCCTAAGGTTTTCCTTCAGTTTTCGATGGGAAGTCGAAGTTCAATGTATGGAAAAAAAGGGGCCTCGTTCCTTATTTAGGGTTCCTTAGGTCAACGCCTCGACTGTACACGGGGATGTTCGACGAAAGATAAAGAATACCCAGCAAATAGTGAAAAAACAATCCCGGCAAAGCAACCTAGCAGCGATGTGTATATTCATATCTGGAAGCGTTCCCCTTAAGATTCAGGTGAGAATCCAGTTGTAGAATTCTGCTGTTCTCGTAGTCGCAGTCGCATTCGCCATGACAGTCGCAGTGGCAACGGCCTTAGGATCCAATGGAATCCTAAGGATTCCTAGGGATTTCTACGGATGCCTCAGCCTGCCTCAGTTTCAGCCTCAGCCTCAGCCTGCCTCGGCTTGCCTCAGCCTCAGCCTCAGCCTCAGCCTGCCTCGGCCTCAGCCTCAGCCTGCCTCAGCCTCAGCCTCAGCCTGCCTCGGCCTCAGCCTGCGTCAGCCTCAGCCTGCCTCAGCCTCAGCCTCAGCCTCAGCCTCAGCCTCAGCCTCAGCCTCAGCCTCAGCCTCAGCCTCAGCCTCAGCCTCAGCCTCAGCCTCAGCCTGCATCGGCTTGCCTCAGCCTCAGCCTCAGCCTGCCTCGGCCTCAGCCTGCCTCGGCCTCAGCCTGCCTCAGCCTCCCCTCCTCCCCCCCCCATTCAGCCTCACCTTGTCTCAGCTTCGGCCTGCCTCGGCCTCATCCTCAGCCTCAGCCTCAGTCTCAGCCTCAGCCTGTCTCGGCCTGAGCCTGCCTCGGCCTCAGCCTCAGCCTGCCTCAGCCTCAGCCTGCCTCAGCCTCAGCCTCAGCCTGTCTCAGCCTCAGCCTGCCTCAGCATCAGCCTCAGCCTGCCTCAGCCTGCCTCGGCTTGCCTCGGCCTCAGCCTCAGCCTGCTTCGGCCTCAGCCTCAGTCTCAGCCTGCCTCAGCCTCAGCCTCAGCCTGCCTCAGCCTCAGCCTGTATCAGCCTCGGCCTCAGCCTGCCTCAGCCGCAGCTTGCCTCAGCCTCAGCCTCAGCCACAGCCTCAGCCTCAGCCTCAACCTGTTCAGCTTCAGCCTCATCCTGAGCCTGCCTCGGCTTGCCTCAGCCTCAGCCTCAGCCTGCCTCGGCCTCAGCCTCAGCCTCAGCCTGCCTCAGCCTCAGCGTCAGCCTCTCAGCCTCAGCCTGCATCAGCCTCAGCGTCAGCCTCAGCCTACCTCAGCCTCAGCCTGCCTCAGCCTCAGCCTGCATCAGCCTCGGCCTCAGCCTGCCTCAGCCGCAGCTTGCCTCAGCCTCAGCCACAGCCTCAGCCTCAGCCTCAACCTGTTCAGCTTCAGCCTCTTCCTGAGCCTGCCTCGGCTTGCCTCAGCCTCAGCCTCAGCCTGCCTCGGCCTCAGCCTCAGCCTCAGCCTGCCTCAGCCTCAGCGTCAGCCTCTCAGCCTTAGCCTGCATCAGCCTCAGCCTCAGCCTCAGCCTGCCTCAGCCTCAGTCTCAGCCTGCCTCAGCCTTAGCGTGCCTCAGCCTCAGCCTCACAGTTGGCTCCGGGCAATCCACATATGGTACAGGAATGGTGTTCTGGGAACACGAAGAACACGAAGTGGGCTACAGTTGGCTCCGGGCATTCAAAATGTGGCCTGGGAATGGTGTTCTGGGAAGACGAAGAAGACGAAGTGGCCTACTGTTGGCTCCGGGTATTCGAAATGTGGCCTGGGAATGGTGTTCTGGGAAGACGAAGAACACGAAGTGGCCTACAGTTGGTTCCGGGCATTCGAAACGTGGCCTGGGAATGGTGTTCTGGGAACACGAAGAACACGAAGTGGCCTACAGTTGGCTCCGGGCTTTGAATACATGCTTGGGAAGGGTGTTTTGGGGAGTCCTCGGATCCTCCCCGGCACCCGCCCAGACCCCCCAGAAGAGTCCCGGGGAGTCCCCGGATTCTGCCCGGCATCCGCCCAGACCCCCCTGGGGAGTCAAGATGCTGTCTTTTGAGCCCACTAGAAACCTATCAGTCTTCGCTGTTAGGTAAATAGTCCAATTATCCCGGCAAAGCAACCTAACAGCGATGTCTGGAAGCATTCCCCAGTTGTAGAATTCTGCTGTTCTCGCAGTTGCAGTCGCATTCGCGATGACAGTCGCAGTGGCAACGGCCTTAGGATCCAATGGAATCCTAAGGATTCCTAGGGATTCCTAAGGCATCCTTAGGCATCCTTAGGAATCCATCGGAATCCTTAGGAAACCTCAGCCTCAGCCTCAGCCTCAGCCTCAGCCTGCCTCGGCTTGCCTCAGCCTCAGCCTCAGCCTGCCTCGGCCTCAGCCTCAGCCTGTCTCAGCCTCAGCCTCAGCTTGCCTCGGCCTCAGCCTGCGTCGGCCTCAGCCTCAGCCTGCCTCAGCCCAAGCCTCAGCCTCAGCCTCAGCCTGCCTCGGCTTGCCTCAGCCTCAGCCTCAGCCTGCCTCGGCCTCAGCCTGCCTCGGCCTCCGCCTGCCTCAGCCTCCCCTCCTCCTCCCCCTCCCCTCCCCTCCTCCCCCCCCCCCCCCCCCCCCCCCTCCCCCTCCCCCCCCCTTCCCCTCTCCCTCTCCATTCAGCCTCACCTTGTCTCAGCTTCGGCCTGCCTCGGCCTCATCCTCAGCCTCAGCCTCAGTCTCAGCCTCAGCCTGTCTCGGCCTGAGCCTGCCTCGGCCTCAGCCTCAGCCTGCCTCAGCCTCAGCCTGCCTCAGCCTCAGCCTCAGCCTGTCTCAGCCTCAGCCTGCCTCAGCATCAGCCTCAGCCTGCCTCAGCCTGCCTCGGCTTGCCTCGGCCTCAGCCTCAGCCTGCTTCGGCCTCAGCCTCAGCCTCAGCCTGCCTCAGCCTCAGCCTCAGCCTGCCGCAGCCTCAGCCTGCATCAGCCTCGGCCTCAGCCTGCCTCAGCCGCAGCTTGCCTCAGCCTCAGCCACAGCCCCAGCCTCAGCCTCAGCCTGCCTCAGCCCAAGCCTCAGCCTCAGCCTGCCTCGGCTTGCCTCAACCTCAGCCTCAGCCTGCCTCGGCCTCAGCCTCAGCCTCAGCCTGCCCCAGCCTCAGCGTCAGCCTCTCAGCCTCAGCCTGCATCAGCCTCAGCCTCCGCCTCAGCCTGCCTCAGCCTCAGTCTCAGCCTGCCTCAGCCTCAGCCTGCCTCAGCCTCAGCCTCAGCCTGCGTCAGCCTCAGCCTCAGCCTGCCTCAGCCTCAGCCTCAGCCTCAGCCTCAGCCTCAGCCTCAGCCTGCCTCGGCTTGCCTCAGCCTCAGCCTCAGCCTGCCTCGGCCTCGGCCTGCCTCGGCCTCGGCCTGCCTCAGCTCGGGCATTCAAGATATGGCACATGATTGGTGTTCTGGGAACACGAAAATCACGAAGTGGCCGACAGTTAGCTCCGGGCAATCAAAATATGGTACAGGAATGGTGTTCTGGGAAGACGAAGAACACGAAGTGGCCTACAGTTGGCTCCGGGCATTCAACATGTGGCCCGGGAATGGTGTTCTGGGAACACGAAGAAGACGAAGTGGGCTACAGTTGGCTCCGGGCATTCAAAATGTGGCCTGGGAGTGGTGTTCTGGGAAGACGAAGAAGACGAAGTGGCCTACAGTTGGCTCCGGGCATTCAAAATGTGGCCTGGGAATGGTGTTCTGGGAACACAAAGAACACGAAGTGGCCTACAGTTGGCTCCGGGCATTCAAGATGTGGCCTGGGAATGGTGTTCTTGGAATGGATCCCTAGGGATTCCTAAGAATTCCCAAGGATTCCTAAGGATTCCTGGGGCTGACCCTTTTGTCCGGTTTTGTCGGGATCCCGCCCAGACCTCCC